GCCTCTTGGCCATTTGCAAGGTAAGCATAACAATTTGAAGTGGCTCTTTTTGGTAGCTCAAGAAAAGATAAATTTTTAAGGTTTTGTTCATGGAATAAAGAAAAACAGATATTGTCAGAGAGGTCAAAAATAAAATTTGTATTTTATGTATTTAAAATAAAGCTTTGCATATTACAAGAGAATGTTAAAAAAAAAAAAAAAGACCAAAACTAAAAAGAGATTCTTCCCCAGATTGGCTCTCTCCAGTACCACTAAGAACAGTAATTTGGCAAAAACTCACCAGGAGTTATGTAGTGAAGTATGAGTTCATTTTCTTGGTGTCATACACATTTTTAAAGATGCATCTCTCTCAACAAAAAGCTCAAGTTATAAGTATTGGCACTGAGTGGCAGACACTGAATTTTGTCTTTTCTTACTTCACTTCCCCTTTTTTATTTTTTTACGATTTCAAAAGCCCAAAATATCTCTGGGGTGCTCTTATTTGAAGGGTGATAATTTGGAGCCTGAAATGCATTGTCAACTCAAGGATGAAACCATTTATTTATATATTCTCTCTCTCTTCCTCTCCCTTTTTTGGAATTAACATATATGAAAAGTCCATGGAATCCCACAGAACAATTTACAGTCCTCTTTGTGTGAAGTCATGATAGCCCATGTTCCCCTTAAGGGATAACCTAACTATTAAAGAACATTTTAAAATATTAAATAAAAAGTTCAGGCAGAAGAGTGACCTTTACATTGCTAGGCAGAGCAGTAAAAGATACATACTTGTGAGAGAATAGGGTCTACTTATCTACACACAAACAAACCTAAGAAGAAGACCATGTATTACTGAAATTGAAGACCATCACTATGATCCTCAATCTCAACAATTCTGAAGTAAAACTCATCCCTGTAACTCCCAGGAAAATGAATGTTTTTGTTTGTTTGTTTTGTTTTTAGTAAAGTTGGTCTCACCTACAATGAAAATTATAATGAAATCTGGTTGATGACTACATATCATCTTCTAGCTTGTACAGTATTCACTCTCTTTGCCCTGCATGGAACTGTAAGAGGATTTCATTTACATCAATAAAGATCTGTGCTTGAATATGACTTTGCATTACTTGTGACTTTAGAAAACTCATTTGGCTTCAATTGACTTCTTCATATTTCAAACAGGACTTTTGTCTCAGAAGGTTGGGATTATTATAAAGAATTTAGTAGTGTCCCTACTACAATTAGATTTTTGTCCAACATCATGCAAAAGAGCAACTGTTGAGATGGCAGAGCTACAACCAGCAAGGGTCTTGAATCAAGTTCATTATTTTTAGGATGCATCTTACCAGATTAAAAAATATATTTTAGACTGTCCATGAATACTATGAAAGCTTTTGCTACACTATAATCATATATATTTTAAGGGCATAGTAGTTTTATAAATATTAAAAGATGATTTACATAACACACAGGAAAGATTGGGATAAATTAGACAGGAAATGGAACAAAAATAAAATCAAGTCCACTTACTACATAGCTAAAACAAAGCTTCTGAAGGAAAATTAATCCACATAGTTTACTACTTAGATGGGCACTGCTTTTGTAATCACTGTTTTTTTAATTATGTCAATACAAATATTAATGTAACAAGCACTAAGCAATAGTGAGGATGAAGAGATAGGAAATATATTTATGACACAAGAAGGTAAATTGTCCAAATACTCTATCCCTAAACTTAAAGCACCTGATGAGGACTAATTCTGAAATAGTGGGATGCAAATGTACAGTATGAGATTAAAGATAAACTTTTAGAAGTCTTTTAATCATATGAGATTTAAAAAATAACTGAAACTTTGCCCCTTAAGAGTTTACAGTGCAAGAGAATGAAGTGTCTGACAATGGCCCACACACAAGACCGCATGCCCAAGACCACAGTGCAGCATATGGAGAAGGCTACAGGGCTGGGTGTAGGCACTGGGACAGGGGAGGAGGTCAGGCAAGGTCCTATCACAAATGATGACACACTGAATCTGGGAGAATGGGTTGGTGGTATCCACGTGAAGAATAAGGGAGCAGACATTTCAGGCACATAAAACTCATCCAACTATGAACATAGAATGTGTGAGTAGAACACTTCATGCTCTTCATATCACTGGAATGAAAATCAGAGTATAGACATGGAGGTAAGGCTGTGGACACAGAGAGTCAGCTTTTTGTAACAGCCTGAGGAGTTTGTGGTAAAATTGAGGGGTTTCAGTCAAAGGAGTATTGCATTTTATGAGATAATTCTACATCAAATTGTGCAAAGAATAGATTTCCAGAAATAGATGTGTCAAGCAGTATTCTAAAAATTTACTCCCCAGTGACTTTTTCTCTTGTGTAACTATAAGAGCAGAATTAGTAAATATAATGAGATCTCACTATAGTGATTTTGTTCTATTACAGGTGCAGTGGATCTCAAAATAGCAAGATTATAAAGGCAGGACTAATCAATCACACCAAGATTTTAAAACAGTTTTTTCCCTACAGGTAGTGAAAAGAGGAAAACTCCAAGTACCAAAATAGCTGAATTTACAAAGAACTCACACAACTCAAGAAAAATAAATAATATAGTCAACAAATGGACAGTAGAAATCAAGACACTTTTCCAAAAATGAAATTCAAATGGCCAACAAACATATAAAAAAAAATCAACATCTCTCACAATCAGGGAAATGCAAATCAAAACTACAATGAAATACCACCTCGCAACAGTGAGAATGGCACATATTAAAAAACTAGCAACAACAAATGTTGGTGAGGATGTGGTGAAAAAGGAGTTGGTGGAAATGCAAACTGGTCCAACCAGTATGGAAAGCTATGTGGAGGTTCCTCAGATTGCTAAAAATAGATCTGCCATTTGACCCAACAATTCCACTCCTAGGGATCTACCCAAAGAACACAAAAACATTAATTCAAAAGTATATATTCATCCCTGTAATTATTTCAGCATTATTAATAATAGGTAAAACAATCCAAATGTATTGGTTGGATCAAGAAGATGTGGTACATAAACACAATGGAATACTTTGAGGAAAAGAAAATAGATAATCTAATGCTATATGTGGCAACATGGCGTTAGAAGGGATTATGCTCAGTGAAATAAGTCAGAAAGTAAAATAAAAATATTGATGGTTTCACTTATAGGAGGAATAGAGGGAAATCAAATAAGGGACTGAGGAGGGGGTAGTAATAATAATTTAAAAATACAATAAAACAAGATTAAGCAAAAATTAAACCAAAATAACTATAAACTATTAAACCATATAACTAAAAGCCAAAAGTTGGGAAAAACATAAAGGTCTAAGGTGATGGTACGGTGGTGGAAAATCTATGAGAACTATACCTGATATAAAATGCATAGAAGTTAAGAAATTAAATACTAAAAAATGAATGTACTACTTATTGGTGGACTGAAGACAGGAATCTTTAGGATTAGGAGCTATCATTAAATACATAAATTAGATGAGGTAAAAGGAACAGCCATTAAGAAAGTTTATCAGGATAACACAGTGACATAGTGGAGGAATTTGAATTCAGCTTCCCTGATTATGGAGTCTATTCTAGACATTTCCCTGTTTTATGTCTCTATAAATGCAGAAAACATAAAGATTTATGAATACTAGGACATATACTAGATAACGCACATTAAAATGTAGAAAAGTGGCCCTCCCTGGTGGCGCAGCAGGTTAAAGCACAGCACTGAGAAGCTAAAGCCACTTCCGCATGAGTTCAATTCCCACCTGCCCAGAGGAGATCCACATGGCGAGGCAGACCTCTCCTGACCCGCCCGCTGCTCCCCTCAGCAGTGTACTTCATTGATCTGCCTGTTATGCTCCCCACTCTGTCTCTGGTGAATCCCCTCACTGCCCTGCACCTCTGGCCTGTACCCAGGTTCTGTATGCATAAATATTTTTTTTTAAATGTAGAAAAGTACTGAAAATGATAATGACTCTGTCCTCAATCAGGAAAACTGGAAACACAGGAGACTCTCCCTCCCTGCACAGAGGATTTGGAACTCTAGTGTGAACTGAACATGCAGACCATTGAATCCCAAAGGAAGTAATGTTAATTCATTGACAAAGACTGTAAACACAGACAATAACTTCTTCTTTCTGGAACCTGATCAAACTTCACCCTAAAGGAGTTTTGTTTTCAATCTTCAACAAGTTGCTGAGATCCACAGAGAATAAGAAAAAGTCACAATATTAACCAGCTGACAGTCTAAGGACAGGGAGTTCATTCATTTGTTATACCTGAAGACATGCAAATCCTAAAAAAGAAAATTAGTTGCCTCCACCTTTACCCAAATCATCATCCCCTTCAGAACAATAGAGGAAAAGAACTTTCAAGACTGTCAAGAAAGGTCTCCAGGCAGAAGGAATTTGGTGATTGAATCTTTGTTCTGATGTTTCCATCTCACTGCTACAACAGTGGAGGGTGGTCTGGACCACCTGCCCATCCTAAACAGCTCACCGTGGCTGAGGTAAGACTGCAGGAGGGGCATGGTGTGCTGATGGGAATGCTAGTGGACACTCAAGTGCTTTCATGAAACCAGCACTGATGTCTAAGGGGTAGGAGGGAGAGAAAGGGCTGAGTACTGGACACAGTGTGGTCACAGTAGCTGCCCTGTGTCAGCGTCAGGAAATGACATAGGAAATGATCCAAAACCACTCTTGGCTCCTTTGTTCTCCAAGCTCTATGACCTTAGCAGCTGATTCATCACTTCAAGATGCTGTTTTCTTAACTATGAAATGTGGACACCACTCTGGTGGGTTCCCTACTAGGAGACAGTAAAAAATAAAACATGAAAGGTATCAACAGATGAGAGAAAGTTGAAGAGAGGGATTCCTTGCTCTGGCTCTTCCAGAATGCTACCCCACCATCCCTCTGCAGCTCCACAATCTCCACAAGTCAACTAAGGAACAGAGTCCTGCCCTAATTCTTCTCCCATCTCCTCACAGATCTCACCACTGCAGATAATGGCTGTGGAAAATGGCTCTTCAGTGACTGAGTTCATCCTGGTAGGAATCACAGACCAGCCTCAACTCCAACTGCCCTTCTTCCTCCTCTTCTTGTTGAACTATATGGTCACCGTGGTAGGAAATTTTTGCCTAATTAATCTAATATGTCTCAACTCCCACCTTCACACACCCATGTACTTTTTCATCCTCAACCTGTCCTTCATAGACCTGTGCCATGCTTTCATCATTACCCCTAAGATGCTGATGAGCTTCGTGTTAGAGATGAACATCATCTCTTTTGCAGAATGCATGACTCAGCTGTTCTTTTTCTGTTTCTTCGTCTATGCTGAGTGCTATGTCCTGACAGCCATGGCCTATGACCGCTATGTGGCCATCTGCAAGCCCCTCGTGTACACAGTCACCATGTCCCCTCAGGTCTGTGTTCTGCTGATATCTGGTTCATATATGCTGGGACTTGTTTGCGCCACAATCCACACAGGGGACATGGTCAGACTGACTTTTTGTGACGCCAACATCATCAACCATTACATGTGTGACATCTTCCCCCTCCAGCAGCTCTCCTGCAGCAGCACCTATGTCAATGAGCTGGTGGACTCCACTCTGGTGAACACAACAGCAATAATGTCCACCCTCATTATTTTCATTTCTTATGCTCTGATCCTCTCCAATATCCTCCACATGTCATCCTCTCAGGGCTGGTCCAAAGCCTTCAGCACCTGCAGTTCCCACATCATGACTGTTGCCATTTTCTATGGTTCTGGGATGTTCACACATCTCAAGACCTCTTCTGATGGCTCCTTGGGCCAGGGGAGGTTTTTCTCAGTAGTTTACACCAACATAGTGCCCATGTTGAACCCCTTCATCTATAGTCTAAGGAACAAAGATGTCAAACTTGCTCTGAAGAAAACCATGAAGAGAACTGCAAACTAATGAGTTCCACTGTTTCCAGTTTGTTGGGGTGCATGTCTTTGTATGTGTGTGTTTCCCTGAAAATATTCTTCAGAGCAATATTTTTCCCTCTAAGCATGTCACTTCAACATGCAAACATTATTAAATCATGATTAGCTTATTTCTGTGCTTACCCCCTTATCTGGATTTTATTCTTAACCTGCTCCAGAGAGTCACCTGACTCCTATTCCTTTTTAGACCAACTCTCACTTTTCTTCCTTCCATGTACTTTTCTTACATTAGCAAACTTATTCTACATTACAGTCTGAAACCACCCTTTTACTCTAATAAAAGTAATATATATAGCCATTTCTAGTTTAAAACATTTTAGGACTTTCTGTACCATTTCTTCCAGAGAGAAGACTGTAAAATTTTAAAAATTATTAGAATTTCAGACTTCTTTGCATTCTGTTTATACTAGGTTTTCTAACTCACAGATCAAATAGAGAAAAGTATCTGATTGACCCTTTGCTTGTTTTGATTTTTTATTTTATCCCTGATTATGTGTAACAGTGAGTACAACTTTCCTACTTTATTCAAACACATCAATGATTAAAAATTACTAACATGCTTGAGAAACTTGGTTATGTGTCACAGTATTGGGCAAAGGGCCTGAAGTAAAAGAATGAATTACCATTGTGTAGTCTTCTGATTGTCTTAATATACTAAAACTCTCTTTAGTACAGATTTTTAGAAACTAAAAATCTTTTTCATAATTTTTTAAAAATATTTTGAGAATCTAAAGTATATCAAATAAAATTCATGACTTAGTGAAACACCTTGGCTTCAAAATAATGTGTCCGTTTCACCTGAGGATTCTCTGCCTAGATATAAGAAAAAACTCCCTTTGTAAAAGCTTGAAACCTTTCCACGTAATCAAAACATTAAAACAGCAATGGGTAAAATCTTGTCATGAGGTCATTATGATTTCACTTTCTAATTTCACTTTGGTGAAGACACCAAATGATTTGCTGAATTATTTCAAATGGGATGTCATCTCAATGTCCTATTTTATAGGTGGAGAAACTGAGATACAAAGATTTGGCTGAAGACTACTTAATTAGTTCAGAGCTCAACTTAGCGTATACTCAATTCATCTAACTCCAAATCCTTTGTGTTTCCATAGTATCATTTTGCTTCTCAGAAAGAAAGCAGAGGGAAAAAATAGGAAGTATAAGAGAAGGAAGATGAAAATCTGTAGGACTATTTTAGCATCAGGCTGAAACAAGGGCAGAAATAACACCCTTAGCTACAAGTCCCTGTAATTAGACATGTGCCATAAAGCCTTTAATTCCAAACTAGATAAGTGCTTTTGTTTATAAAAATATTTAATCAAACATTTCATAACATACTATAGTGTCATATTTATGAGGCTGACCAAATTTCTGTGACTACTTCTTAAGGCAACAGCTAGTAATTATACTTTGTATTTAGAAAAAGAAAAAAAATCACCTGATGTTTCATGTGCAAAATGTCAAAAATAGAGTTTTATCATATTTTTTGTTCTACAGGTACACAGAGATTTATTTATATGTTAACTCCTTTCTTTATTCTCATTGGGATCAGAGGAAGGCAATTATTTGTGGCTATTATTAGAAACTGTAGAAGGTACAGTCTAAAGAATATCTGTGAAGTCACTAAGCGTACTCAAAAAAGGGTCACAAGCATCAGCTTACAAGAGGAAAATGTAGAATATGGTAATGATCACTTAGGAACTGAGATAAACAGATCTAATTAATTTGAACTAATTTAACCTGACTTTTATTATAACAGAATCAGAGATATGATATATAATGTATAGATCAGGCTATACTAATTGTGCTTACATCTTTGTAGTAAGTAGAATTTGACCAAGTACTTCTTCCCTTTGTACTTCACATGGTTGGACTAAAACCTGGTGAAATAAATATTCAGGGCCTCCCTGGTGTCCTAGGGGTTAGATCTCATTGCTGTCACTACTATGGTGAATTCAATCCTTGGCCAGGAATCTAAGCCAGCAGACCTGTCTTATCTACTGCTCCCCTTTGATCACTGTATTTCAGTAGATCTACCTACTCTGTTCCCCACCTTTTCCCTAGTGAATCTTCTCTCTCACACACAAACCCTGTGCCCTGCACCTCTGGCCTATGCCACAGTTCTTCTATGCATAAATGAATAAATCTTTTTTTAAAAAATTCATGAAATTTGAACTTCTTTCCTATGAATTTTCCCTTAAGTAAATTAATAGTTTAAGTTAATAATTCATTTTCCTAGAATATGACTGCAATCCATAACTTTTAGTCTGAAAAAATGTCTAATTATGATACAATTTTTAAAATGTCATTCCTCCATTATAACACCTGTATCTCTCAAAGTGACTAATGTTTTTGAGCAATCAGCTTTGCTCAATCCCATTTCAATTTAACTTGCTCCTCCTAAGAACTTGTATATCCTTTGAAACAAATATAAAAGGGATACTGTTTGGTTTGGTCACAACATAAATCAGGAAAAAATTATAATTTTATCTTCAGAAATTAAAATAAGAGTTGACTGCAGTTCAGTTTCCTCACTAGGCCACCCAACTGCTTGGTATCAGAGTCCATGATAGGAAAACTACCGCTCAAATTTGATATGCTACCTTTGAATTTTTTTTCTTTGCATCTCAAAAGAACTTAGAAAAAAGATTACACACACAGGTATGCACTCTTTTTCCAGCTTTATTGAGAAAACTGACAATAAAAATTGAATGGATTTAAGTTGTAAAACATGATGATTTGGTGTACATTGTGAGATGATTCACAATCAACACATCCTTAACTTCCCCTAGCTACCGAATTTCTGTAGCTGGTGAATTCACTTAAGATCTACTCTCAGAAAAATTCAGTGATCCCCAGAATTAATTCTTCCAGCTGAAATTTGTGAAAAACAGTTCCCATTTTGTTCCACTCCCCAATCCCATACCATCACCATGCTATTTTGTTTCTGAGTTGATTTGTTTCTGTTCACACCTGAGATCATACAGTATTTGTTATTCTGTGTCAGGTTTATTTCCTTTAGCATAATGTCCATTGGTGCTATTGCAAATAACAGGAAGTCTTTTTCTGGTTTAATAATCCATCATAAAGTCATGCATCTGTAGGTGACTTTATTATGCAAACTTCATAGAATGTATAAGACAAACCTGTATCCTATAGCCCACTGCCACTATGCTATTTGTAACCAGCTATGAGACACCATCGATATGTGATTCCTTGTTCAATAAAGAAGCATTAACAATGTATGACTGAATGTATAACACATTTTCCTTATCCATTCATCCATAGTGAACATTTTGGTTGTTTCCATACCATGACTATCTTAAATAGTATTTCAATGAACACTGGAGAGCAGGTATTTTTCAAAATGCTGACTTTAATGCCTATCAGTCCCAGAGCAGGACTGATAAATCACATGGAAGTTCTATTTTTGTAACTGATACATCCCATAATGGCTGTATCATATGTAAAATGATAAGCCTTGTTAACTATTGTTAACTTTTGTTATTTCTTCTCTCTTTGACATCAGTCATTCAACAGTTAAGAGTTAATAATATCTCATGAATATTTATATGTATTGGCCTGCTGATTAGTGTTGCTGAACTCCACTTAACATACCTGTTAGTCACTTGTATATCTTCTTTGAATAAATACCTATTTATCCAAATTAGTGGGATGACCGATATGAAATTTATTTTATGTTTAATATATAAGTGGCATCACTGATACTAATGTTAAGACTAGTTGGCCTATTTTTTTTTAAGATTTATATTTATTCGTACAGAACTGGGGTACAGACCAGAAATGTGGAGGGTGAGAGGATTCACCAGAGACAGAGCGGGGAGCAGAACAGGCAGATCGACAAAGCACACTGCTAAGGGGAGCAGCGGGCGGGTCAGGAGAGGTCTGCCACGCCATGTGGTCTCCTCCGGGGGCAGGCGGGGATCTAACTCATGCGGAAGTGGCTTAAGCTTCTTAGTGCTGTGCTTTAACCGGCTGCACCACTAGGGAGGGCCTAGTTGGCCTATTTTTAATCAGGTTGTTATTATTATTTTATGCTTATAAATATCTTCTCCCATTCCAGATTCCTTTTTCATTTTGTTGAATATTTTCCTTGCTCTTATATTCTGTTTATTGATCCTTTGCTGTCTTTTATCATGTTAATCAATGTTCCTTTCTGTGAAAATACTGTTCCTGATCCATTCTCTTGCCTCTTAGGTTTTCATTTGCTTTTTAATTCTTCTTAGGAAATTTTTTCCTCTGAATAATGTTCCTTCACCAAATTCTCTTAGGACCACCACCATTTCCCCCTACCTTTCTCTTCCCTTTTATGTGTATGCAGAATCATTAGTTCATTATATGAGGGCAAAACCTTTTCTTAGTGCCAGAGTTCTTTTAATTACTTAGTTTGAGTTCATTATGCACTCACATAATCTAAAATGTTGACATTTAAAAACAGAATACAGTGAAAGTCTCCCCACCTCTGTGCCCTACCCACACCGTTATTCACCATGAGGCAACCAGTATTAACATGTACTGTTAGTGACGTCACTCCTATATTTTTTTCTTTTTTTTTTTTTGTCACTCCTATATTTTAACAAAACTGTATTTTATACAAAAATATAATTTACCTATGTCATCCCACTAATTTTACACAAATGGTAACATACTACATGCACTAATTTTCTTTTTAATCTCATATATGCCATTTATTCACAAGAAATTAGAGAATAAATAAGATTTAAGATCCAATAAAGACTAAATTCAGAAGAGCAATGAAGGAAAAGTCCCAGGATAGCATCAGTGTAGGTAGCTAGGAAAGCAAGGTCAGTTCATAACAGTTGGATAAGTGAGATTTCCCACTTAGTATTACATTTGAAGGTCATTTCATAATCACATATAGTCTTAATTTTTTGTACCCCTACAGGGTATTTTTTGTACAAATGTTCAAAATTTTACTTAATCAGT